AATTAATCACACATCAACCAAATATAAGAGGGCCTTGCCTCCCTGTGCATAAAACCATTCACACACTGTTCACACCATAAAATTGACTAAACCATATTAGAAACAATACAATAAATGGGGAACATAATGCTAGGTAACCCTCTTAACATAAAAAAAAACAAGGCAAAACGTTGCATAAGCAAAGCATCACATAAGCAAAACACTACATAAGCAAAGCAGCAGTGGCTATCACCCCTGCAACAAGTAAAGCCACTGTTAAGGAATAATATAGAAACGATCAAAACAATTAAAACCAACAATGCTACAGGTTACCTTGGCTGCACGTCACCCTAGCACAGCATGTGCAATGGACGCCAACTTCTACTGGATCACGCTCGCATCAATTATCGCTCCTGGAGAGCATGCGGCAATCTCCTAAAAACAGTCTTAAAGGAGAAGCAGGACACAGCTCGATGGGGGGGGGATTCACTTCAGACCGGTTACGTCAGCGACCAGCACAGAAATTGTTTTTTGAAACAGCATCTCCCCAGGTTCCTCTCCCCAGGTGTTATTTATACCCATGATTATTCTGACAAATTACTAACCAGGCGGTGTAGGCGTGGCCAACCCGCCGGTTACATATGCATACAGTGCAGAGACTTTTCACTGCATATGTGACATGTCAGTACTGCAGTATACACCATTAAACCTACCCTGTCAGACTAACCAGCCCAGTATCTCGGTTTATGCAAGTGCGCTCCCTGCAGTACCTTTGTCGCTTTGTTATTAGACAATACACAAGAATAGACCTGATCCAGAAATTGCCCTTGCCTAACAAGATGAAAGATTATCTGCAGGAGAAGCACTACTGAAGACACAGAGAGAGGACAGTGGTAGCAATTTGCACTTTTGTGTTCAGTTAAGAGATTTAAACAAGGTTTACAGATAACTGTAGTTTTAAGATTGGTTCTGGTGTCCATGTGACTGTTTAGTCCTCCATTCCACTCTTTTTAGGATTTATTTAGCTGGTTTTAGGAGTCTCTGCTTCCAGAAATGCAAGCCAGCACATTATTGGAAAAAATATAACAGAAGTATTCTGCCAAGTTATCATAGTTGTATACTTTAAGTGCAGACATTAGGCTTGCATTGTGACGAATTATTAAATGTAACATCTGTTTGTGCAAATAGAGCAGATTTTCATGAGTTTGCAATCTGCATTAAAGTTGGAAAGTAGGGAAAATAAAAGTAGAATAAAAGTCCACTCTGAATTGGAAAATTCATTGTTTTCATCCATTAAACTGTTCAAACATTATTGCCAGGAATCTGGACTTTCAATCAAAATATTTTCAACAGTCTGGACATTTTTGTCCCGAAGGATCTTCTTTATTGAAAACATTTGTTTTAATATTGGATTCAAACGGTAAAAGGGTTTGTAATACATACCAGCTGACAAATGGATTTCGTGTACAAGTAAAGGTAAGACCATAAACTTTTATTATTTCTAGTTAGAAATAAGCTTAACTGGAATAAATTTTAACCTCAAATTAAATATGAGTCACGTTTGTGTGAAGAATGCTGATATGAGATATAAAACATAACGCATTGTCTGTTAACAGACAATTTGTTAACGGTTCATTTGTATTTGTAAATCTGACTGTGCCTCACCAACTGTCAACCTCACCGCACGTCACTGGTTAAATCTTTTCCTGGAGTTACAAAAATGTGCATTCCTCTTTCACTTGCATTATTGTGTAGCGCAAGATGATTAACAGCACACTTTATTTCTTTGTTTATTTGTTAAGAGGCTTATCTCCCAGTCTGGAAAGTTGCATTAGCCTCACAGCCTCTGGTTATATCTAAGATAGGCAGCCTTAGATAACCTTCAGTGCAGTTCTTTTTTCACTCTCTTTACCATATTCATAGAGGATTTTGGTTATTCAAAATGTTTCACCTAAAGCGTCTGTGCCTTTGAGCTTTTAATGCTATGACAAACCTGTTCTAGTTGGATTGCCCTGCTTATTAATAGTCGTATTTTGATTAAAACTAGATTTGTTCCGACTTTTCCTGCTTTTTGTTTTATACCACATCAGGATGAAGGAGTGATACACAGTGTAGTTTTAAAGGCACAAAGAAAGTATTGGTATTCAATAGGACTTCAGTGTCAGTATCCAAATGATCTAAGAATGCAGACACTCTGTGATCCATGACTCATGATTTATGACCTCAAGCGCCCATCTTGCTCACCACCATGTAAACCTGCAGTATGCATAGCAGTCGGTGCATGCCTGCAAAATGCCATAGGGAATGAATAATATATAAGTGCACCCTCGGTGACCAACAGTATTCCTATCATTAATTTCATACATTTGTATTCCTACCTGGCCCTATAGGGTTTGTTCTTTCTATCCTGATACCAATTCTCCTTTTGGACTAGTTGCATTCTGACACCAATCTCTTGGGTTTTGATTGGATTTCATGCAGCCATTGGGGTATTCACAGCCTGTGGCAGGGCTTTATTGATGAACACCCAATGTAATGGTCAACTCTGTGTTATTCGAACAAAGGAACAAATGACACCATTCTGTTTTCCAATATTGTGTCCTCCCTTTTCTGTTTTATTTCAGAATACATCCCTCTCTCTGTGCTCAGAGAACGCTATCTGCATGCGCATATAGTTTGTTAGTTTTTCTTTGTTCATTCTTTTAGCAAAGGAATGGCCAAAGCCCTTCTAGGTTACCTCTGGAATTCTTTACATAGTATGAGTGAATCATATTCTCTAGTGACCTTGGAGTGCATATTAAAACATTAAAAGGTACAGTACTGGCACTTGTGTAGTCATAAGCATGCATTTGGTTGT